TATATATATATATATAATTGTGATTTAAATGTAACATTTACTTTCAGAGAGTTGCTTAATTTTTACACACTTAATCATTGGAACTAGTTTGAAAAATAAATCATTACTTTAAATTTTTTTAAGTAATTACATCTACTTTGATAATAAACTTTAAAAAATCTATTAATCTGGCCCAAATTACCATGCGATCTTCTAATAACGAAAAAAGTTTAACCTTCTGATAGAAATCAAAGATGACATATTAGAAACCTTACATACCGCTCCGATACGAATGAAAAGAATAGTGACTTGCGTCAATAGCCACAGAGATTGGTCCAATAGTAGCCACAGCCTCCATCAACCTCCTTTCACTACCTCTAGGTACATCCACAAAACCGGAGTCAGTAGCACCAGAAGCAGCAGGTGTATAGCGGCACTGATCATCCTGAAAATTCAAAGCGAAAGTTCACTTATGCATTCTGAGCTGCAAAATCATACATTTTAAATAAACAAAAAAGGGTATAACTTGAAAATTGGTCAAAACCAAAATTAAAATGCACAAAATTGGCATCTAATGATATGAGTTGTTATACTACCACACCCCAATCTCTTCACACAGATCAGCAAACCAACGTTTCAAGAGGCATTTTCAGATTTTCTGTAGTAAAAAGTGTGTAGCTAATTTGTTTTCAATCGTCACAACACTGCCACTCTTTTGGATGGACAGTAACATTACAAAAATGTTCTGCACAGAAAGGTCTTCTCAGATGTAACCTTGATAATGTAAATTAAATGTTATTGACTGATTTTAATTGTTTAAAGGATTATCCATACTGACCAAGCATCAAACCTAGGCCTCCTGGTTTACATTTAGCTTCTCTAACCAGTGAGCTACTATTTTCAGTCATTTTCGGAGAAAAGATTGGACGTGTGCCAAATTTCAATGTTGCATTAAAACTTTGAGAGAAAGTGAAACCGAGTTTTCACCGTGAAAGAGAAATTCCATATTCACTGTTCAGTCGAGTCGAGAAGGAGCTGGATTGACTCTTAAGAAGCAGGGATAATTACAAAAACTGAAACCAGCGACTGGGGATCCACTTGTTGCCATTCCAAAAGCTGATGGAAGAGTTCGACTGTGTGTCGATTACAAAGTTGGTGTGAACGAGCAATTATGGACGCACATTACCCCATTCGAAAAATCGATTAAAATTTGAATAGTCTCCATGATTCCCGCTACTTTTGCCGATTCGACGTGTATAAAGTGTATCTGCATATTCCAGTGGATCAACAATGGAGTAAAATTCAAACAATATTAACACATCGAGGGACTTATAGAATGAATAGCCTCTCCGGTATCAAAACAGCGCCATCAGAATTTAATCTGATCGTCGACTATATTTTGAAAAACATCCCGAAGACTGAAAAATATGTGGACATTATTGTACATTGATCAACAAAAGAAGAATGTGAGACTAACTTGAGCTTGTGCCTTGAACAGCTGAGGAAATATGATCTACATTTGAATCGCCAGAAATGCTCAATTTTTCAAAAACGAGGTTCGAATTTCTAGGGCACGTCATCGAATATAATAAAATTCGAAGTAACCAGAAACAATCAAAGCAATCACACAAATACCAAAATCAAAAGATAAACAAAATCTTCAGGATAAGTCACATTTTATAGCAGATTTATTCCAACAACAAAACTTCAACAATTACAGAACCACTGCGGAATTTGCTGAAGGAAAATACGATTTTCAAATGGACAGCAGAATGTGAGGCAGATTTTATTCGCTTGAAACGGGAAATCATAAGCGATCGCGTAGTCATGCCATTCAATCCCGAATTGCAAGTTCGACTTGCTTGTGATGCAAGTCCCACAGGTATAGAAGCAGTCTTATCACACATTATCAATGATCAGGAAAAGCCAATAGCTTTTGCATCTCGATCACTTACCCCAGCAGAACAAAATTATTCTCAACTGGATTAAGAAGCTCTAGCAATTTTTTTTGTAACTGACATTTTTTTTCATATTTACTCGGACGTCAATTTCAAATTGTTACTGACAATCAACTTCTATCTAGGGTTTTCCATCAACATGCAAAATTACCACGGATGACTTCAGCCCGTCTACAACGTTACGTAGTTTTTGTATCAGGATTCGTTTATGAAGTTGTATTCAGAAGATCTGAGAATACCAGTGCTGACTGTTTATCGCGGATATCACTGAATTAATAACTTAAATCACACACAGAAACAGCTATCAACGAAGAAATCCATTTTCTACATGAATTTACACTCAGAAAATCACATTCAAATCAATTCAGAAAGGGACCGAAGCTGATCAACTTTCTGACATCCTCCGAGAATTCCAAAAAGACAAAACAACTGATGTAGAATTTACCTTGGACAATGGACAATACGCTTTAGAGGTTAACGCGTCAATACTACATGCTGCTGTTTTGGAGGAACTTCATAGAACTCATATCGGAATTTCAAAAATTAAACAACTCGCACACTGGTATGTATACTGGAAGAACATAGACAAGGATATCGAACATATTGTTCGAGTATGTTCTGAATGTGCAAAAATGAAAAACAGTCCAACAAAAGCTCCTCTAAACCCATGGAAAGAACCAGAAGAAAATTGTCAGCGTATTCACTTTGATTATGCATGACCATACCAAGGACATCATTTTTTAGTTTTCTTAGATGCAAAATTGAATGGGTAGAAATTGAATCATGCGTCAGCGCCATCTGCAGCATCAACCATCGAATTGCTCCAAGAAATGTTTTGGTTAAAATTTAGTACACGGTACACCTTAGAAAAGCGTGGCGGTGGAGGGGAGGGGGAAGAGAAGGGGAGTCTCCTTAAGTCCTACTACTCGTAGAGTTTGGAGGTGCGCTCAAGGAACGACAAAACCCTCTCAGTTTGGTTTTTGCCCCCATGAAGGCGTCTCCAAACATATTCCGCCAGGGAGCTGGCCAGCTGCGCGAACCGTGACCCCTTCCGCCCTGAACACTTTCGCACATGAGGAGTGGTCCCTTTCATGCTACTCTTCCGCTCAACATCATCCCACAACTGTTTTTGCTTGGCCAACCTCATTGAACTAGTGAAATTAGATGACGGTTACATCTTCAAACCGCATATAGATCAACTACGATTAATCGAAACTCCAGAACTTACTAGCAGAAACGACAAAGAGAAAAGTAAGGTTTCCGATGAGTCTTGATAAACAAAAGCATCGTGTTGACTTGGGATATTTGGTACACAATCCACTGAAGCAGCGCAATAAAGAACTGCACGTAGATCAGCCACAAGTCGCAGTTGACAGACACACCAATAATAATTGAAGAAGAAGCAGGGATCGAACGAGTTCATCACCCGGATCAGACTCTTCGACAATCTACAAGACCCCGGCTACTACCAAGATGCCTCAACGACTTCATACTTAAAATTCAGTGTTAACACGTTTTCAAATATGCATAACAAAAACATGTGGACCCGCATTGACATAATCTCATCCTATTCATTGGTGCACAGTGAAGCCATCTCTCGGAGCTGAGCCCTGACTATTATAACGGTGATGCTAGATTGTTTTCCTACCTGACGCAACATGTACAGTTTAATGTTACTTCAAATAATACCATGAAACGAATCGGATGGGGCAGTGTTTTTCTATACCTCTAGCAATCCAATAACAATCAAGGATACCACAGAAAACAAAGGGAAAAAAGGGTCCCGCTAACATGTTAGTAACCGAAAAAAGAATTTTAAGAAAGAAATAATACTTGCCTGTGCTTCATATGGGTATGATGCTTCAGTATCAATTCCTCCATTGTCTTTAATATACTGGAAAGCCAAGTCCATCCATCCTCCATTACAACCTTGATTTCCATATCTTTCTGAGCAATCAATCAAATTCTGTTCACTGAGGGAAGTAAGAACACCTGTTTTTCGGTAGTGTTGTCCTTCAAGAGACCCTGTCTGAAAATCAAAAATATGTTTAATGGCATAATGAAACTAATCATTTTTAAATTACAATTTGCTGAAATTTGAATATACGGTACACACTTAGAGAACCGTGATGGCGGGGGGGGGCGGAGGAGGAGAAGGGGAGTCTCCTTAAGCCGTCCCTCAAGTTACGTTAAGCGCCCTGATAGAAATGAATAAAACTGACCGATTGGCGATTGTTACTGCTCGTAGAGTTTGGAGGTGCCTTCACGAACGACAAAAACCTTTGTTGGGTTTTTGCCCCCTCGAAGGCGTCTCCAAACATATTCTGCCAGGTAGCTGTCAAACTGGCCAGCTGTGCGAACAATGACCGCTTCCGCATTGAACACTCTCGCACATGAGGAGTGGCCCCTTTCTTGCTTCACTTCCACGCGAAACCATCACACAACTCCTTTCGCTTTTCCAACCTCATTGGACAGTTACACACAAGACACCTAAATCCTGTACCAATCAAACATCGTTTTTGCGTCCATTCAATAACAGCCAAACATCCCCTTCAGCGTAACGCGTAAAAAAATATTCTCAACATCGTAGCATTCAAAAACACTAATCAAAAAGAATCTGAAAACCCAAGAAACGTAACTGTAAGACAGCAACGTAGCTAACCACTTCGACAGCTACTCCGACACAGAATAACATCACTTCAACGCTACTAGGCACCACCATGTAATGAAGCTCTGACGAGATACTACGGTGAAATTGCCCTCCCCTCCTAACTTTCGACATCACGTTCGTGACCAATTACACACCATTTAAATTATTTCAGAAGTGTATTTATACAATTTCATTAAGTCGCCCACGCTTTGCTTTCTATATACATATGTGTGTGTGCGTGTGTGTAAAAAATAGCTATTTTCTTTAATTTGAACAAGCTGTGCTTCCCACCTTTAACGCGTGGTTGAGACTAAGGACCGCTAGATGGAATGAGTGGTGCGATTGTTGGACGATATTTAAATACGCCTGCGTATAGCTTGAAAATTATAAGAAAGATACATTGTAATGAATGTAAGTGGTGTAAACAGAGAAGCGGTTAGTTAGCTTTAATTGTCGTGTCTCTGTTTACAGGTAAGGGCAAAATGTTTATGTTAAATATTTTTTGTAAATGATAATGTAATTGATAGTTCACAAAAATGAAAAAAACTCCACTCTGTTTACAGGGAAACAAATTTAACTAATCATTAACCTGCATAAATAATTGTCTTATAAAATGACAATTTTTTATTAGAATGCCGCGACGATTGCAATTCTCATACCAATATCTGGCATCTCCGAAGGACAAGAAAACGAGCCTTCCTGCCATAACCTCAATTGTAACAGAGGATAACAAGCAATATGTGTTGCCACAGGAAATGAGGTTTGTAACTGAACATCGAGAACTGGTGAAGACGGATGTTTTTAAAAGAGTGAAAAATAGTTTGACTCAACGAGGCCAAAATAGAACAGTATGGATCACTCTAACAAAAGAAATGGCACAAACATACATGGATGAAGAAGGTAATATAATGTTTAATGATTTGTATTTAGAACAAATATTAAAAAAGATGTATTAGAATCCATCAAGAAAAAGGATAGTCAACTTAATTTAAAACAAATAATAGATAAATTTATGATTGAAAAGTTTACATCTATACATTCAAATGCAAACCAATGGCTAGATACATTTGAGAAAGAATGTAAAAGATTTGACATCAATTAAGGTAGTACAATGTTTGAGATTTTGAGACTATTCCTGGGCAAGTCATGTTTAGATTGGCATTCAACAACCCTCATAATGTTGACAGTAGAAGCTGAATGGTCTCAATGGAAAGAGACGTTCTTAGAGCCCTATGCAGGCAAAGGATGGATACTTTCTATCCCGTTCGACAGCATTCCCGTGTGACTTCACATGAAACGTCAGTCACTATAAAACGTGGTATAACAAAAAAGAATCAGACTTGGAATAACAAAACGC